ATATTCCTAAAAGTCAAAGAAAAAATTAATTAATATATGACATGGTAATATTGATTCCATTATCTATTACACATGATAAAAGATATCGAAATAGAGAAGTGCGACGAGTTCATCAATTGAAGAACATAGAAATACCAAATCACACCTTGAATCCAAATTACAAAGAAAAACATAGTATTTTACTATTAAAAAAAAATTATAAGGTCTGATTTATTTATGGTAGTTTAATAATTTTCAAAGTAGTTTTCAAATTTTTTTATAAAAATGGGTTATTTGTCAAAATACACAAAATCTTAAGAATACTTTTACAAATTTCTTCTAATTTTTTTGATTTGTTTTTGGTTGCTCTGCTTTCATTAAGCCGGCGGCTGTCAGCCTTTAGTCTGAAAAATCTAGGACTGGTCCCCACGTTTCTATTTATTTATTTTAATTACTTTTTTCAGATTTTGTCGTATTTATATCTTTCTTGAAAAATAAATTATTTTATAATCTTTTTTCTTTATTCGGGGTTGCATCAATCCAAATGTACGGCTAGGATTCTCTTATCCCAAGCGCATGCTATTGCTTTGTGGGGGGACCATTTGTGGTCCAGACAACGTTGTGTCGACGCGTGTCCTCTGTCTTTTTTGGCCCGCGAGTAGCGACGTGATTTATGGTCCCCTCTTTCTCTGCAATTTTCTTACCCACCGGCTATTTCCGGTTCACTGCTTTATGCCCACTGGTTACCTCTCCTTCGTCGCCGTCAAGTAATTGTGATATCTTCGTCAAATTTATATGGCTAAAAAGGTTTGTGGTGGAACGTAGTATTAATAGTTCAATAATTTTCTTTGACAAAGATTAATAGTTCAATAATTAATAGATTTTTTTTTTTTTAGTTCATGTAAATTTGGTGTATTCATCCATGATTTACTTACTTAGTTTTATGTAAATTTTTTTAGATTGTGTTCTTTGGCCATTTTATTCCATGAAAAATAAATCTAATTACTTCTAATCCACTAAATTTTGATAGGAAACTAATTTTAGTTTTTAATATAATAATTTAAAATATGTCAAAGTATTTTAAAAATATATGGAAAGTAATTGGATTGGATTTGAGTTAGTATTTTAGCTGGGCATTTGCCCTTTTGATCTCAACTTATATGCAAAAAACTATAGTCAAATTTCCGCGCTTAAAAATTATGTTTACAAGTTGTGAGTATTTGATGTATTTTCTCTTGTTTTTGTTTGTGTTTTTTTCATGTTAATTAGATTTTGACCCACGCCAAATATGGGATTAAATAATTAAATATATATTATTTTATCTATTTTAATATGTAAATATGTCTAACAAATCATATGATTTCTAATATTTATAAACTGATATCCATTGTGCATAAGTATAATCAAGTTAAATTTTGATAAGTATATTTTGATGCCATCAATTTTAATACTTTTATGTACAACTGATCATAACATATGAAAATAATATTTATTACAATATATTTTAAGTGTAAAATTAATTTTTATTATTTGTATAAAATATAGAGCGTGCGATAAATCAATTAAATTTTAGGTTTATATGAATTTGAGAAAATACTTATTGTCCGCAATAGATTTTATTTTAAGATTGTATGTATTTAGGAGGTGTTATTGGATTGGTGGTTTTAATGTATTAGCTAGTTTAATTATTAAAGATGTCTGGGAAAAACTACGTTGATGTTGGACACTTGGATTTTGGTTCAAGTGATTTACATGTAGTAAGTTTGCGAAAAAACATGGTAAATGATTTGCTCACTCTTGAAATCAGTCGGATGTTATGGTAATCCAGACATCTGATGCATGCAACAACAACAAAAAAGGTGACAAAATATGTATCATATACAAAATTTAACATTAATGGATCAGATACCAAATGAAAAGAAATATCAAGCTTTTTTTACATATCAAAG